CCAACCTAATACTATCAAAATGATTTAAAATTATTTTTCCAAAAAAAGTTTAAGAAAAAGGAAGAATGTTTTCCTTATTTTCTGATAACGGTAATTAAAAGTGGGCGGAGCTTAGGAAAATTACTGTAACATCAAAATTCTTGGAAATAAAATCTTTGAAAAATAGGTTTTCTAGCCTAAACCCACCCTAAAAATCCCGAATTTCCAGTCCAAAAGTCTCCAAACCCTCTAGTTTTACAGATATGCTGAAACTGGAGAAATCGTCGCCAAGGCGTGTCGAACAGCGTCTTGCTCGTGCCCCGGCTCCGCCGAGGAGCACGATGCGAGATACTGTAAGCACCTACAGGATAATACCATCAGACTGTTTTTCAGCATTGATAAGTGAGTTGTTTGGCTAAAAATTTGTAAAAATTTGGAAATAATTGAGTCATTTTAAGTCATTTGTGGACCATTTTGAGTTAAAAAAATGGGAAAAGGGGCGGAGCTTAATATTGAGTTTTCAGCATTCTTCGACACGAGTCATCTGCCTCCAGAATCATCTATTTTTCGAAATCTCCAGAGGCCGAAATTCAGGGTTTTGAAAATAATTCCACAACAACGACAATGGATCAATAATTGATCTGTATTTTTATGTTTTTTTGAGGTTTACTGTAGAAACTACAGTAATCCATTTTCATTGATTTGGTTTATTTTTGAAGGGGTTCCATTTGATGTGTAAATTATAATAAATTCGGGATGAAAACTGGAAAATTACCGTATTTCCTCTAATAGAAGCCCATCCGAACCATCAACTTTGAGCTCAATTATCTCGGTTACTGTAAGAGATATCAAAAAGTGGTCAACTAATAAAAAGTTTGTGATATTATGTTAAATATTTTATCAGTTGACAAATTCTTGCTAACTTTTACAGTAACCGAGATAATTGAGTTCAAAGTGCATATATTTAAAAAAAAAGTTTTTTTCGGGATTATTTTTCACAGTTTCAGATTTTTCGTGCAAATCTCAAAATTTCTAAATCTCATGTATTTTTCTATTTGTTCAGTTACACTGAACTATATTTATTTTCCCCTAAAACAAACTATAATATCCAAAAAATTGAAATTCCCCTAAATTAAAATTTGGCCTTTAATTCTTTGAAAGCTGTTCAAATATAACACATTTTCCTATATAAAAGACAGAGTCAGAGGTGTTAAATCAACATCGAAAAATGCACGTTTATATACTTTTTTGGATTTTTGGTCCAACATTTTTTGGATTTGTGTCTAGCCAGTGTTTAGAAGACGACGATGCCTATATTGGTGGACTGTAAGTTTTGGGGAGGTCGTTTTGAAGGGTTTAGAGGCGATATAAATGAGAATAAATGTGATTTTTGGAATCAGCGTGTCTGTAAACCCCTAAAACCTTGTTTTCAGACAGAAAATTCGTTAAAAAATTTTTGTCCCAAATTTTTGAAAATTTTCAGATTTTTCGAATTTTCAAAATTTTCCAAAATATGGCTTGTTTATACTCATTTTAAAGGAAATTTTGCGCTGGTATCGGATTTGTTAATGGAAACCTCTGAAGATGAAAATTCGTCGAGACACGGTACTTTGAACTGTCTGGCTTGCTATTGTTAGGCATTAGGAGCCCCAAAACGTTTTTGAAGATGTTTTTGGGGGGTTTAGAGGCGTTTTGAGTAAGAATAAATGTGATTTTCAAAATTAGCATATCTAGAAACCCCTTGAAGAAAATATTCAGAGAAAATTTTGAAAAAAATATTTGAGCCCAAATTTTTCAAATTTTTCAGATTTTTCAGATTTTCACAAATTTCAAAAATGTGGCTTGTTCATACTCATTTTTAAGGAAATCTTGCGCTGATTTTGAATTTGTTTTTGAAAAACGCTCAAAATCAAAATTCGTCAAGATACGGTACTTTGAACCGTTTCGCTTGTTGTTAAAAGCCATTGTTAGTCATTAGGAAGCCCAAAAAGATTCGGAATGTATTTTTTGAGGTTTTGAGAAGTTTCCATCACAAATGAACATGTGATTTGTAAACCCCTGAAAACAAATTTTCAGACAAATAATTCCAAAAAATATTTTTGAGCCCAAAATTTTTGAAAATTTTCAGATTTTTCAGATTTTCAATTTTTTTAAAAACATGGCTTTTTATACTCATTTTAAAGGAAATTTAGCGCTGATTTCAAATATATTAATGAAAAACGCCAAAAATCGAAATTCGTCGAGTTACGGTATTTGGAACTGTCTCGCCTAGGAGCTATGGTTAGGAATTAGGAAGGCCAAAAAATTTCGGAAAGTGTTTTTGAGGGTTTTCGAGCAGTATTGATAAAAAAAAGTATGATTTTTGAAATCAGCCTCTCTTAAAACCTCTTAAACTTTTTTTTCTAAAGAAATTTCGAAAAAAATTTTGAGTCCAAATTTTTGAATATTTTCAGAATTTTCAGACTTTCAAAATTAAAAAAAAATGGCTTGTTTATACTCATTTTAAAGGAAATTTAGCGCTGATTCTGATTCTAACTATTTCAAATCTCAAAAATTGAGATCCAAAGACTTACACCCCATTTTCAGGTGCTACACAGTCTCCCCCTTCAAGGAATCCTTCCCAGTTGCTCAGAACGCGTGTCACCGGAAAAATCAAAATTTGGCCATAATAAAGAATAGTCTACAGGCTAATTATCTTGCCAGTGAGTTAATTAGGCTTTAATTAATCTAATTAGGATTTTTTTTTAATTTCCAAAATTAATTACCTGAAATTTTCAGCTACTGTCCAAAAAATCACCAATGAGCAAAACGGGAAATTTTGGATCGGATTGAATCGATCATCGATCAATTCTAGATATCAATGGGATGATGGGACACCCCTAATTTGGTCCAATTTTGATTCCAGTAATTTAAAAAAAATGAAAAAAAATGAAAAAAAAAACTTTTTTCAGAATTCTCCCAAAACCAATTATGGGTCGCTGAAAGTACCCAAAATGGAAAATGGACAACTTTAGATGGTGAAGAAGCTCATTTCTTTGTTTGCAGTCATGATCCGTCAGGTGCTTTCGGGATTTTGAGTTTTTGAAATTTTGAAAAAAAAATTTTTTTGGATCTTTTTTTTTAGCCTAACTAGGGAAGGTTGTAATCGGGGGGTGGAACTTCTGTATGAGACCTATATCATTCGAAAGCTGAGAATGAGAAATTTTCAAAGATGTATTCAGATTTTGCTGAGGAGCTACCAGTTTCGAGAAAATCATGTTTCAAATTTGGCTCAAATTTGACTCTTAAGGGCGCCGCGCCTCCCCTCTTTCTTATACAGGGTGGCTGAAAAGTATTGAGACTACTTTCAAGGAGTCACTGGAATGGCGCGAGCCGGTTCCTTCTAGAAATATTGATGTTTTTGGATAACTGGAAGACTTCTAAAGATTTTTTGATGACTAGAATGTATCTACTTTTGGTAACAAGATCACAATTCCAGTTTGATTGAATTTGACTACTTTTTCAGTACAAAATTGGTCATCTTTGACCATTTACTGTGTCAAAAGGTCAAGTCCAATTTAGCTTTAAAGACATGGAATGTATAGTGCATCTCTCGATTGTTGTCTCAAACACTTTCATTTTCAATTTGAAGTCATTTTGTAGGCCGCAGGAGCATTACCGCAAACTCAACTTTTGCCTCGCCGCGCAGTACTAAATGAGCTTTTTTCGAAAGGGCATATCTTGATAAAAACCCGGATCGCTTGAAAGATTTTCACTGTCAAATTGTTCAAATGTGCACAAATGATAATTTGAGAAGTTTCAAAACATTTTGTTGACTCTATCTGTTTGAACTGGAACATTGAAAATTTGAGCCATTTTTGAGTCATTTGGTCGGTTGCATGATATCACTCATATCTATAAATAGAGGTTATCGAGGTATCTAAAATTTTAGGAGCATTATCTAGAAGAGTTCTTCCAACTATATTGAAAGCATGAACTTTCAACCTTTGTTCAATCTGCGGTTACATCATGAAGTACTAAAAACAAGGTGCGGCGAGTCGCTCATATTTCTACATCACATTTGATGTTCTAACTAGGTAAAACTAAGGTATTCAAGGTTTTCCTTCTAAATGTAAACTAGAAAAATAATCATTATTCGCAAAAACTAGCAGTCATAGTCATCAGGTTCTCTGTTTTCAAGAAATTGAGTCTAAACAAAGTCTCAATACTTTTCAGCCACCCTGTATAGATTGGGGGAAGGGAAAGAACCAGACAGCAGTGTGAACACAGGTAAAGGGGGACTGCCGAAAAACTGCTAAATGACAGCTGAAGAGGCGCAAACTGGCGAATGACTGCTAGTTGGCAGCCGAAGGAGAACTGACGGGCCGTTGACGGTCCGTCGACGGACCGTCGGTACCGATTGGAAAGTTACACCACGAATTTTTTGGCCTTCCTAATTCCTAACCATAGCTCCTAGGCGAGACAGTTCCAGAAACCGTAACTCGACGAATTTCGATTTTTGGCGTTTTTCATTAATATATTTGAAATTAGCTCTAAAGTTCCTTTAAAAGTATAAACAAGCCATGTTTTTCAAAAAATTGAAAATCTGAAAAATCTGAAAATTTTCAAAAATTTGGGCCAAAAATTTTTTAACGAATTTTCTGTCTGAAAACAAGTTTTTAGGGGTTTACAGACACGCTGATTCCAAAAATCACACTTATTCTTATATCGCCTCTAAACCAAGCCATGTTTTTCAAAAAAATTGAAAATCTGAAAAATCTGAAAATTTTCAAAAATTTGGGCTCAAAAATATTTTTTGGAATTATTTGTCTGAAAATTTGTTTTCAGGGGTTTACAAATCACATGTTCATTTGTGATGGAAACTTCTCAAAACCTCAAAAAATACATTCCGAAACTTTTTGGACTTCCTAAGGCCTAATAATGGCTTCTAACAGTACGCGAAAGGGTTCAAAGTACCGTATCTCGACGAATTTTGATTTTTAGAAGTTATCGTTCACAAATTCTATATCAGCGCAAAATTCCCTTCAAAATGAGTATAAACATGGCATATTTTGGCAAATTTTGAAAATCTAAAAAAATCTGAAAATTTTGAAAATTTTGAGTCCAAATTTTTGTTCGAATTTTCTGTCTATAAATTTTTAGGGGTTTTCAAACCCGCTGATTTTTAAAATCATATTTATTTCTAACCAAAACTTCCGGAACGTCTAGAAATTCCGCTTCTCCTAGTAGCTAGTAGTAAGGCGCGTTCCTTACGAGATGGTTCAAAGTACCGTATCTCGATGAATTTTGATTTTTAGAAATTTTCGTTTACAAATTCTATATCAGCGCAACATTCTCTTTAAAATGAGTATAAACAAGCTAGACTTTGAAATATTTTGTAAATTTCGGAAAAAAATTAAAAATTTTTTGAAAAAATGTTTTTTTTGAAAATATTGCTAATAGTGGTTTTCAGACAAGCTAATGTCAAAAATAACAAAACTATAATTCCAGCTTCTACTCCACAACCATCGCCGACACCTGACGACGGCTCCACAACTTATGGTCCATGGGAGACAACCCCATACCCCGACGACGGCTCCACAACTTATGGTCCATGGGAGACAACCCCATACCCCGACGACGGCTCCACAACTTATGGTCCATGGGAGACAACCCCATACCCCGACGACGGCTCCACAACTTATGGTCCATGGGAGACAACCCCATACCCCGACGACGGCTCCACAACTTATGGTCCATGGGAGACAACCCCATACCCCGACGACGGCTCCACAACTTATGGTCCATGGGAGACAACCCCATACCCCGACGACGGCTCCACAACTTATGGTCCATGGGAGACAACCCCATACCCAGATGACGGCTCCACAACTTATCGTCCATGGGAGACAACCCCATACCCAGATGACGGCTCCACAACTTATCGTCCATGGGAGACAACCCCATACCCAGATGACGGCTCCACAACTTATCGTCCATGGGAGACAACCCCATACCCAGATGACGGCTCCACAACTTATCGTCCATGGGAAACAACGTCCTACGATGATTACGGTACCACTGATTACCCGGATTACGGTAGTACAGACTACCCGGATTACGGTACCACTGATTACCCGGATTACGGTAGTACAGACTACCCGGATTACGGTAGTACTGATTACTCGGATTACGATCCTACCACTGATTTTTCCCAAATTCGAATCAACAAACTTCCAAAACCACTGAGAAGATTTTTCCAGAAAAAGCGTTAAATTTTCTCGAATAAATGTGTTATGGGATGAATTTTTTAATTTTTAAAGCGTTCAAATATGTCTGAAAATGGCTGAAAATTGCTGAAAATGACTCTGCAAATGGCTGAAAATAACTCCGAAAACGGCTCTAAATTGTCTGAAAATAGCTGAAAAATATTCTGAAAATGTCTGAAATTAGCTGAAAATGACTCTGAAATGTCTGAAATTAGCTGAAAATGACTCTGAAATGTCTGAAAATGACTGAAAATGATTCTGAAAATGTCTGAAAATGGCTGAAAATATCTCTAAAAATGTCTGAAAATCACTGAAAAATGGCTAGAAAAAGTCTGAAAATGACTGAAATCAGCTGAAAATGACTCTGAAAAAGTCTGAAAATGACTGAAAATGACTCTGAAAATAGAATGTCTGAAAATTGTTAAAAATAACTGAAAATGGTTTTAAACTGGCTGAAAAAATGGCTGAAAATTATTCTGAAAAAATGGCTGAAAATGGTTGAAAATTATTCTGAAAATGTCTGAAAATCACTGAAAAATGGCTCTGAATTGTCTGAAAATGTTTGAAAATGGCTCTGAAAGAGAATGTCTGAAAATAGAATGTCTGAAAATTGTTGAAAAATAACTGAAAATGGTTTTAAAATGGCTGAAAATGTCTGAAAAGGACACTGAAATGTCTGAAAATGATTCTGAAAATGTCTGAAAAAGTCTGAAAAAGACACTGAAATGTCTGAAAATAGCTGAAAATGACTCTGAAATGTTTGAAAATAGCTCTAAAAATGTCTGAAAATGTCTGCAATATGCTGAAAATGACTCTGAAAGAGAATGTCTGAAAATAGAATGTCTGAAAATAGCTGAAAATGGCTATAAAACGTCTGAAAATGACGGAAAACGATTCTAAAATGACTGAAAATGATTCTAAAATGACTGAAAATGGCTGAAAATGGCTCTAAATTGTCTGAAAATAGCTGAAAATGACTCTGAAATGTCTAAAAATGTCTGAAAAATGCTGAAAATATCTCTAAAAATGTCTGAAAATGACTCTGAAATGTCTGAAAATGTCTGAAAATGATTTAAAGTGAAAAAAAGCCATGTTTTGGAAAAATTTTCGAAATTTTCGAAAAAAAAATTGGGCTCAAAAAATTTTTTTTCGAAATATTTTCTGAAAAAATTTTTTTTTAAACTTATTTTTTGGAAATTTTATACATCAAAGTCTCTAGAAATGCACTAAATTCAAAATTTTGGGACCAAAAGATCCAGAATTTCACTTCTAGATGAATACAAATTTAGATGAATACAAGAGATAAAGTGAGGGATAAGGAAAAGATGAGAGACGCAGAGATTTGCACCTGGACACCCCATATTTCATTAGAGTTCTGAGCTGCTCATTTTGAGAAGGAGCAGGATTAACAGGAAATGAGCAATTTCCCCCATAGAAACTTGAAATTGAAAAGTCCAAATCCTTTAATGGAAAATAGAAGCGAGAGAATTTGCACCTGGCAATCATTAGGATTACTGTAACTTTGTCAGTTTTTAGTCAAATTTGATGATAACTAAATTTTCAGAATGAGCAAGTTATCAGCTTCAAAATGGGTATAAACATGCCTAGTTTTCAAAAATGTTTAATTATTCGATAAAAAGTTTTGGGCCCAAAAATTTTTTTTTGCTGAAAATAAGCTTCTAGGGGTTTTCAGACACGCTGATTCCAAAAATCTCATGATTTTTCTCAAATAGTTCTCTGAAAACCTGAAAAGCTAGAACCTACACAGTCGTAGTTTCCTCTGAGGTCAAAAGTGCGCATTTGGGAACTACAGTAGTATTATTACTGGAATTATTACTGGATTAGTATTATTACTGGAATTTAAAATCGAAAATTGTTAGGTTACTGTATCTTTGTCAGTTTTCAGCCAAATTGAACGAAAATTGTATTTTGATGATCACCAAATGTTTAGCTTCAAAATGAGTATAAAAACATGCATAGAATTCCTGGAAATATAAAAAAAATCTGAAATTTGAATTTCCGAGAAAAATCTGTAATTTTACACTCACCTCATTTCTAAAAAAATTTAGAAAATAGTTCAAAAATTCAAAAAATAATGAGTCTAGAATTTGGCAATTTTTAGAATTTGACACATTTTTATTTAATACGGGACCCAGGGACCCAGGGACCCAGGGACCCAGGGACCCAGGGACCCAGGGATCCAGGGACCCAGGGACCCAGGGACCCAGGGACCCAGGGACCCAGGGACCCAGGGACCCAGGGACCCAGGGACCCTGGGACCCAGGGACCCAGGGACCCAGGGACCCAGGGACCCAGGGACCCAGGAACCCAGGAACCCAGGAACCCAGGGACCCAGGGACCCAGGGACCCAGGATCCAGGGACCCCCCTCCCTTTCTCGAGAGCCTCGAGAAGGCAGAACTGATTCTTCCTTTACTTCTTTCATCCTTTATAGTGATCTTATCTCCCCGAGGTCATCTAGGGTCGAGGGTTTCTAAACCAAATCACGTAGTTTTTAATATCTAGAATTCAATTTTTTGGAAACTTTTTTTATAAATATATTTTTCATCACGTTCAAAATAACACTTGAATTTTTTTCCTTTTGAAATCTCTGATTCTCCACAGAAAGATTGTCTCTTTGAACCTAATTATCTCGTTTCTTGTTTGAGATATCAAAAAATGATTAACTGATAAAATGTTGCTGATTTTGAAACAAACATTTTTGCTGTTAATAGTTTTTTGGTATCTTTTACAGGAACCGCGGAAGAGTAGGTTAAAGTTTATTTATCTCGATTCTGGTGAAAGATATCATAAAATGATACACTGGCAAAATGAAAAAAAAAATCAAAGAAAATTTTTTTAGACCCAAATTTTTCACCTAAAAATGCAACAAAATATGGCTTGTTTATACTCACTTTGAAGCTGAAAAATTTCTGATTCCAAAAAGCTAACTTTCATCCAATTTGTCTTAAACCTGCAAAAGATACAGTAGCCCTAATGATTGCCAGGTGCAATTTCTCTCGCTTCTATGTTCCATTTAAGGATTAGGACTTTTGGAAATTTCTCGAAATTTCTATGGGAAATTGCTCATTTGTGCTCATTTTAATTTTAATTTCATTTTAATTATTTGGGATTTCAAGTTTCTATGGGGGAAATTTCTCATTTCCTGTTAATCCTGCTCCTTCTCAAAATGAGCAGCTCAGAGCTCTAATGAAATATGGGGTGTCCAGGTGCAAATCTCTGCGTCTCTCATATTTTCCTTATCTCTCACTTAATCCCGAATTTCTAGAAATTTCCATTTCCTCATTTGTGCTCCTGCTAATCTATAAGCCCCGCCCATTTTCTTAGGCTCCGCCCACTTCCTTTTCTCGATAAAATGAGCAATTCCACGAATTGCTCATTCCCTATTTCACTGAATTCAAAGAAAAATCCCAAAAATGAAAATTTCTAAGATTATTTGGATTTTCTTTGATTTTTTATATTCCTAAAACTATTCTAAAATTCTTCTCAAAAACCTTAAAATGTCTCCTTAGAATGAATGGAGACTTTTAAAGTTTTAAAAAAAATTTATTTTTCTGAAAATTCCTATATGAGGTCAGTCTAAAATTACAGATTTTTTCTTGAAAAAATTCAAATTTCAGATTTTTATTTGGCTGAAAAAACTGAATGATTTTGAAATCTATCATCAAAGAAGCAGCATTGGATGACAAGGTGAGGGAAATATACATTTTTAGTGTTCAAAATTGAATTTTTCCGACTTTTTGAAAGATTCAAAAAATGCGGAAAAATCCTCAAATATTCTTGTTTAATACTAATTTTTCACAATTTTTAACTAGAAAAATTGGAAAATACTAAATAAGAAAAAAAATTAAGAAAAATACGGTAGTTAATCTAAATTCGTACTATTGATCTCATATGACGGTGTAGCTTTTTTCAGAAGTTTCAGAGAAAAATTAATGTGATTTTCAGAATCAGCGTGTCTGAAAACCCCTATAAGCATATTTTCAGCGAAAAAAAAAATTTCGAATCAAAAAAATGTTTTTTTGGGACCAATAATTTTTGCGAAAATTTCGAAAATTTTCCAGACTATGGCTTGATTATACTCATTTTGAAGCCTATCATTTACTGATTTTGAAAATATAAAAAATATTTAATTTGGCAGAAAAATGACAAAGATACAGCAACCTAACAATTTTCGATTTCAAATTCCAGTAATAATACTACTGTAGTTTCCAAATGCGCACTTTTGACCTCACTAGGGAATGGTCAGAACTCATACCACGATCGAGATAAACTAGTGGATTCTCCGAAAAGGGGAGTGCCTCCTGATTCCAAAACAGTTTTCAAATTTTGCTAAATGGCCCGGAGAGCCGAGATATCTGTGCTCTAAAATCAAGCGATAAACCATATAAATCTCGCTTCCGAGTTTTCGATCAGCTGCTTCCTCTCCCCTTAAATTTCCCCTCCAAACTCCGCATTCTTATCCGTCGCCGTTGACTACCAGGTAATGTGGGCCGGTGGCCGAGTGGTGTGTGCGCTTGGCTGGGAATCTGCTTTTGCGGGTTCGAACCCTCTTCGTTGTAAACTCTTTGTTTTTGTGTTTTATGGTCATTTAATGATTTTTTTAAACTTTTTTCATGATTTTTCACCTTTCTGTATACATAGTAAGCCATCCTGACATTTTTACGAAAGCTTTCAAATAACCGAGATAATTGAGCTCAAACTTCACGTATCAGACGAGCACCTCGAGCCCCTAATTCACGGTACCTCAATCCTCCAACAACAAAATTGCCAGAGAAGATCCGAACTCTCGACCTAGCTTCTCAACCCATTCTACAATTTTCAAAACATTTATTGATTAAAAAATGTCCTCTCCTTTTTTCTTTTAGATTTGTTCAGAAAAAATCGAAATTCCGTAAAAATGTCAGGATGGCTTACTATGAAAGGTGGATAGAAAGGTGAAAAATCATGAATAAAGTTTTAAAAAATCATTAAATGACCATAAAACACAAAAACAAAGAGTTTAAAACGAAGAGGGTTCGAACCCGCAAAAGCAGATTCCCAGCCAAGCGCACACACCACTCGGCCACCGGCCCACATTACCTGGTAGTCAACGGCGACGGATAAGAATGCGGAGTTTGGAGGGGAAATTTAAGGGGAGAGGAAGCAGCTGATCGAAAACTCGGAAGCGAGATTTATATGGTTTATCGCTTGATTTTAGAGCACAGATATCTCGGCTCTCCGGGCCATTTAGCAAAATTTGAAAACTGTTTTGGAATCAGGAGGCACTCCCCTTTTCGGAGAATCCACTAGTATATCTCGATCGTGGTATGAGTTCTGACCATTTTCTAGTCAAACGAAACTACGACTGTGTAGCTTCTAGCTTTCCAGGTTTTTTACAGAGAACTATTTGACAAAAATTATGTGATTTTTGGAATCAGCGTGTCTGAAAACCCCTAGAAGCTTATTTTCAGCAAAAAAAAATTTTTGGGCCCAAAACTTTTTCTCGAATGATTAAACATCCTTGAAAACTAGGCATGTTTATACTCATTTTGAAGCTGATAACTTGCTCATTCTGAAAATTTAGTTATCATCGAATTTGACTGAAAACTGACAAAGTTACAGTAATCCTAATAATTGCCAGGTGCAAATTCTCTCGCTTCTATTTTCCATTAAAGGATTTGGGCTTTTCAATTTCAAATGTTTTGGAATATCTATGGGAAATTGCTTATTCGAGCTGCTGCTCATCCTTAAGCTCCGCCCCTCAAAATCAGCAGCTCAGAGCTCAGAGCTCTAATGAAAAGGGTGTTGCCAGGTGCAAATCTCTGCGTCTCCCATATTTTCCTTATCCCTCGCTTAATCTCTTTCAAATTTGTATTCATCTAGAAGTGACATTTTGATCTTTTGATTCTAAAATTCCAATTAAATGGGATCTATAGGGATTTGGAATTGCAAAATTTCGAAAATTCCAAAAATTTTAAATTTCCTAATTTCAGAAATTGAAATGTCTCAACGGATCGATCAAACTGTAATAGACAGGTTGAAACAACTTACAATCCAATACAAAATAGGTGAGAAAATAACAATCCAAGCTTAAATGTAGGTTTTTTGAAATTTCAGAACATATTGACCAAAATGAATACCGGGTAATTGATCAAAAAGATGGAAATGTGAGAAGTTGGAGCTTTTGCAGATGTTTTTGAGGGGTAAGAAGTGTGATTTTTGAAATCAGCGTGTCTGAAAACCCCTAGAAGCTTATTTTCAGAAAAAAAATTTTTGGACCCAAAAATTTTTTTTTCGAAATTTTCAAAGTTTTCCAAAATATGGCTTGTTTATACTCATTTTAAAGGAAATTTTGAACTGATTTCAAATTTCACATTTTCAACATTAAAAAAATCAAAACTCAAGCGTTTTTTCAGGACAAACTGATTGAGAAAAATCCGCACTTATTACGGTAATCTGAAGGAGTACGAAATGTCTGTTCGCGTATCGGTGTCAACAATGTCCCAAACGAACAGAAAACTTTTTTGTAAATGAACGAAAAGTGGCAAAATGAGATAATAAAGAAAATTGATAAAAATTGGATTCTATCACATCAACCTGGACTTATACCTCAAACACCCGTTCTCAAAGGTAGGAAAAGTGGAATTTTTCAGTTTTAATGAAGCAAATGAATGTAATTTTTGGAATCAGCGTGTCTGAAAACCACTAAAAGCAATTCTTCAAAAAAAAGTGGAAAAAAAAATTCTGGACCCAAAAATTTTTTTTCGCAATTTTCAAATTTTTCCAAGCTATGGCTTGTTTATACTCATTTTAAAGGTAATTTTGAGCTGATTTCAAATTTTACATTTTCAGCATCCGAAAATCATCCGTTCTCAAATTTGAGCGATGAGTTACAAGACAAGTTGGAGGAACTCAATCGGGTATATCCAAACGGAAATGTTCCAGAATTATCTCAAAATTGATTAATAAGCGGGCTGGCGCTGCGGATCAAGCAAGTCATTTGGAGAATTGCATTTTGCTTGAAGAAAGGTACGGCCTTTTTGGAAGTGAGTTTTTTGTTTCAGTTTGAAATTTAAGTTCAAAACAAATGTAATTTTTGGAATCAGCGTATCTGAAAACCCCGAAACGCTTATTTTCAGAAAAAAATTTTCGAAAAATAAAATTTTTTTCGAAATTTTCAAATTTGTCCAAAATATGGTTTGTTTATACTCATTTTAAAGGTAATTTTGAGCTGATTTTGAATTTTACAATTTCAGCATCCGAAAATCAGATTTTCCACTTTTCCGAGTGCCTGAAACTTCCAAGTATTTCGATTTTTAAATTTTGGATGTTACTAATATGGGAATTTCTAGATACCGTAAAACCTCTAATAGAACGACACCCGGATCGTCCACTTTGAGCCTATATATCTCACTTCTTTTGAAAGATATCAAAAAGTGGTTAACTAGTAAAATGTTTATCAGGATATCAGCAACATTTTACT